ATATATATATATATATATGTTCTAAGATGAATATTAATACAATATGAATATTAACAATCACATAATATTCATATACAAGTACCAATACTAATACTAGCATTCGCATGCACGCTAATCTTAAGATTAAGATTTATCTTCCTACTGATGTTTGTATGTATGTATATACATAGACATCGACATTTTACCAGAGATGTATTTGTCTATAGTTGTCTATGCTATAAAAAGTCTCCTATATTGGGCGCTTCACGGTAGCAGCTGTCTAATCCGGGGCTGCAGGATGCGTCTTGGGCCCGCAGCGGGCTCGGATTTGGGGCCCATGGCCGGCGATGGCATCGGCTTCACCTGCAGCACAGTGTTGGGGTTTCGACTCGCACACTCGCAACTGCAGGCGTGGCAATAAGTGTCCGAGATTGCTACAGTTTGGGGGTTTAGGGTTTAGGCTTTTTTTGTCTCCTACTTGGGGTTTAGGGTTCAGCTTTCTCCGAGCAGCTACCTGGAAACTTGGAAACCTCTCGCACAGAGACTTTGTGCGACATGGGCGAAGATCCAGTGAAAACCACAGCAGACAAGTTCAAACCTACCGGCGCAGGGCAAAAAGATTCACATGCTTGGCCTTGGGGGAGGTCTCTGCAGCTGCTTTAGCGGCCTGCATAACCTGCAGCGAGGCGGAGCCACGGCTCTGCACATCAACGGTTTCATGAATTACGACGCGACGGGCGGCCTGGACGTAGATTTCGTCACAGATGGGCTGTCTAAACCGAAAAGACAGGCTGCTGTCCATCGAAGCTACTACGGTAAGTTGCTCCGATAAAGGCAGGGTGGGCCAATGGAGGCCAGGAGGTGCGTCAGAATGCGAACTTCCGCCATGCTGCAAAGCTGTCAACTGGTTGAGAAGTGGTCGGCACAGCCAAATAATTACCGATAGTATTTCGGGGGTTCCTTATTATATGTAATTATAGTGGACGCCCAAAAACCCTATTAGCATGATTAAGGCCACTCCAGATGTCTTAATGTACTCTAAACTCTAAGCCCAAGGAAGCTTCCGTGCATGGCAGGCTCCTTTCGCGAGATTATCCTTGACAGTCCAGGATGTACGCCAGAGTTTACGGGCTCAAACACGTGAAGTCTAGGGCAGTCTAGGGGTCTCAACGCAGGCCGGAACGTGAACCTGACACCGCGGATATCATCGGCCCATGAGGACAATAGGACCAACATAAGGCTCCACCCTCCCAAACCTCAGACCCCCTCTACAATGTCGGTCGGGTATAGCACGACGAAGTCTTGCTAACGGAGGCAACAACGAACACCTGTAGTTTTGCCGCGGAGACAACACAACTCGCGAAGCCAAGTCCTAGCTAACCTCTGCACGAACCTCCGGGTGAAAGGTTGCCAACGAAACATCCGAACCTCCACTTCTACCCTGCCCGAGGAGCCTCCTTAGGCATCTGCACGGTCCTGGGTCTATAGCAATGCAGCGCTTGCTGGAGGCATCTGTAGCTATCATCTACCTGACGAAATGGCGTGGAACAGTAGTCTCCATCAAAGATCCGAAAAAGTCGAGGCAGACACCGGGAATTTGATTGGCTGTTACTGGGCGGATAAGCTTTTGCCAAGGGCTGGCAAATCCGAGAGCCTGGCACTGTGAAGCGCCCCTGCCGCACCTGCGTCACGCGCTTGCTCAATCTTGAAAGCTCCCTGAAGCCTAACCTAACCCCTAATGCGGTTTGGGCTCTAAAGGCTGCTGGGTTCAGGGCCAACTTCCGAAGCTACGACAAGTGATTCCCCGCCCGAAGCTTTCCACGTGCCACACAGCCTCAAAAAATCACGCACTCGGTGCTACCACTGGGTCCTTCCAGATGTGAAGCTAATGACACATACTTCTTTAATTTTGCACTGCCCGGAGAGTTCAAAACACCTCCACCGATGTACCTTTGTAACCAGGTCCTCCTTTTGGAATTCCGCACTTGGGCGAAAGCCCAGGTTAGCTCGCCATTTAGGTATTTCAGGCAGGGGTAGAAGGCTGAGGCAGGGACCGGAAGACGGCGACGCAGCTCTTCCAGCGGCTTCTTGAGATCCAAATCCTGGAGAGATAAGGGTGACTGTGATGAACACAGGGGTGCCAATACTAACTTACTTAGAATGGGGTCTTGGGCACGTCGTAATACTTCTGCATTGAGGGCTCTTGCTCTTGGACTCGTAACTTGAAACAGCCATACATGTACACCAGATGCCACGTCACAAGACATGAGAGCCATCTACCCTGACCTAACAGACTCAAGCAAAGCCAACCTCCGGATATAAAAAACACCTTAAAACCCAAAGACCTATGCCTACAACAGCCTATAATGTAGGGGCCTTCATAATCAGAATAGGGTTTTGGGCATTTCCTTTTTATAACCATTGTACAATATGCCCCCAAACCCTATTCCAATTATTAAGGCCCCTGAACCCTCATCACGGACTTGCCGGGCCGTCTCGGCAGCGCCCAGCACGCGAGCCTGTGAGCTTGGCTGGAAACAGTCACCAAAAATAAGCACTAAACATATTATACATATTATTCATATGTTTAGTGCTTTGTTGTGATAATATGGTTAGTGTCGGTAGGCCTGAACACCAACTTCGACCCCTCGAGACTTCGAGAGGCTTCGCATAGCACCAGGAAGCCAGAAGTTCTCCCCGCCCCTTCTTTTCCCGGCACAGCTCCACCTGCTCGATCGCGCAAAGCTGGTACGACAAGTTGTGAAGTTGCGATGCTGTTGAACCCCTGCATCTTGTAAAGTGGTGAAACCTGGTGCCGGGCCGATGGCCACGGCGACACGGGAACTGCTAGACCATCTCAGGGGGTTGGGTCGCCTTCCGCTTGGCTCGGCCTTTGGCCAGTTTGAGCCGCTTCGATCGCAGCCGAGGCTCTTTGGCCCGTGAGGCGCAGGTCGGTCTAAAGCGTTTCTCCTGAGCTGCGGCCTTTGGACGCACGAAGACACGCACGTCGTCGTCAGACGGGTCAGAAACGTCACCAGCAACCTCGGGCACCTCCTCCTCCTGCTCCTCCTCCTCCTTCGTCTCCCCTTGCCCGGGTTTCTCAGCCACCGGGGCTGGCACAGCTTCGGCCTGTGGGAGCTAGGATTAGGGGGAGCCTTGGGGATATAGACCCTCTCAAAAAGGTCCCTTTTAAGAGAGTCAGAAGTAGGGTTCAGAAGGGGTACCCTGTAAGTAAGGGGTAGCCCTAATAATACTACCTAGCCGCAGCCTGCTTCCTTGATACTCGCTGGCGCTTCGAAGTGACCGCGATGTCTTGGACCGGCTCCGGTTCCGTGCCTTGGCTGTGCGCAACAGCTGCACGAACTTGTGCAAACATTTAGGGACTTAGGGGTTTAGGGTTTAGGGTTTCGGGGCTTAGGGTTTAGGGTTTATATGCGGAGTCCGACTACCGGCAGGAAGCCTCTCAGCTCCATAGCCCTTGCTCACCTCCGCCCAATCCCTTTCGGGACCTGAAGAGTAGGGGCCTAAATAATTATCAATACTATTCTGGGGGTTCCTTATTATAATTATCGTTTCACGGGCCCCCAAATCCTATTCTAATCATAATTAAGGCCCCCATGTGAAAGAGTAAGGAAGCCAAGGCAACACGGCAGTTCACACTGTAAGCAACTGTCAACCGCACGCTTGGCGCCTTCAAAGCCGATTTGAGCTTGCTGCATCATCTTCAACCTGTCGCGGCAAGCACGACTTGTAAGTGCAACCGCCAAGAACCCTGTAACCCGAATGCAGCGCATCCAAGCTGGTACTGTAAGTGTCAGAGTTCTTTCTGCCAGGCCCAGCCCTGTCAGGCAGGGCTAGAAATGCTTGAAGTGCTGCAAAACAAAGAGTAAAGAGACCTTTCAAAGCCGAGCGGACGAGTTCAGTTGACTCTGGCAGGAAGCCGTATCAAGCCACAGAGCGAGAAGGAAATCCGAAGATCGCAGACACCACTCCTAGGACCTATGTAGAAAGGAGCCCTAAACCTAGCATCTACTCAGGCTTCTACACTCGGCCATGGGGGGGGGGGGGTCAGGCCGGTCAAGTGTGAGTCGCCTCATCTCGTTGATGCGGTTGAGATGCCGGTCCTGTAGATTGAACATGAAACCTTCCAACCCTAAACCCTAAACCCTAGCCCCTAAACCCTAAACTACAAGCGACGAAACGGTCTCGGCGCTCACACTTGGGCGATGGCGAGGCACAGGGTTCAGTGGTTCCGGGATTCCAGCACTCACAACTGGGACAAGCCCTGGAGAGGTTCAGGGGTTTAGGGATTTACAGGTGATGGAAGAGGCATCGTTAAACTACTGGGACGAGGCATCGCTCTACCGATTGGCCACGGCATGATACTCTCTCTACATCTGTATGCATACATTACACATAAACAAATAAGTAAATATAAACAAACAAATAAACATATATATATATATATAGAAGCATAAAAAATAAATAAATAGGTACATATATATATATATATATATGTATACTTATTATGTAACTCAGGCAGGTTCGTTTTATGTTGTATGATACTTTGGCTTTCAGAACACACGCTCTGCCAGGCGCATCCGGTCAAGGCTCCGCCCGCTTGTCATCCGTCGTCAGCCTTCCGGACTCGTCCTGCCATGAGCTCCGATTTAGGGCTTATGGGGTTCTAGGGTTTAGGGTTTTCTAGGGTTTAGGGCTTCGGTGAGGCTTTAGGGCTCATAAGGTTTCGGACGTACTGTAGGGGTTCTAGGGTTTAAGGGTTCGGTTAGGCTTTAGGGCTCATAAAGTTTCGGACGTAGAGGTTATAGGGTTTAGGGGTTCGGTTAGGCTTCCGGGCTTATAAGGTTTCGGACTCAGGGTTCGCCGAGCCAGAATCACTTGTGATGCCCCTCTCGCAAAAGCTGCTCCGACCCTCTAGGGCAAATATGCCGACGACATGAAACTCAAGTGAAATTGGGTTTATAGGGTTTAGGATAGCCGGTCTGTCACAAACCCAACTGAGGTTGATTAGGAACTTTTCCAGAGTCAACAGCCCGGCTCACAAATTCCTTCGCACCTACGCGCTAGGCCCCACTGTAAACCTCAAACTCTAAACTCCCTCATCCCACCTCCTTGAGATGCATCAGGAAGTCGCCTGCTGAAAGCTCCGAGCGTGGCCGCCGGCGGTCCTTCCCGAAACTTCAGAGACTCCAATACCCCGTAATTAAAGAATATACCTTAAATTATAGTAGGATCCCTAATATGATTTAAGGTACATTCCTTAATTAAGGGGTATTGGAGTCCCTGGGCAGGGTATTGGGTCTCGGCTTTCGGTGCTCACACTCACTCCAGGCGGGGCATTCGAGTTGGTCTGCTCAGCGGGAGTTTGGTTTTTCGTTTGCCTCCTGCATTGCGGACCAGGCTTCGGGGTTTGGGGTTCAAGGATAACAAAACTTCGTGTTTGGGGTTTGAAGTGCTTCCTTTGAAGTCAGATCCAGAATCGTTTCTGATCGTGGTTGGGCGGGAGACTGCTGTCTGAGCCGCAAAGGTAGACAAAGGCACGACTTCTGGGTGAGTTACAGTGCTGAAGATGCAGCGGCATGCTCATCTGTGCAGGTCTCTGCAGGTAATGCAACATGGCACGGGGTCCCGCCACTTGTGTCCAAAGGGCATCACGGCAGCCCTGGTAGCATTCATGAGGTCCTGACATTCACGCTCACCAGACAGGCTCTGACACAAAGGTCGACAGCCGTCAAAGCAGCACCCAGCCACGACCACAAAGCTCCGTGACTGGCATTGGACTTGTCTTGCAGACTCACATCCCCAAAAAACTCACAAGTTGCAGGAGACTAACTAACGCTCATCATACGCCCATGCAAGAAATTACGGGCATAAGGAGAGGAGTGATTGGAAGCTATCCCGAAGCCCGTCCAGGAGGTTGCTCTCCTCCGGGCAAAGCTCGCGGAATCGGGCCTCTCGGGCATCGAATACCGATATTTTAACAAGTTCGTCGAATGCTTGAGGGCTTTCAGGGTTAAGGGAGCAGGGTTCAGGTTTAACCCATTCGTCGCAGGGTGAAACTCTCGACTTGCATATGACCCGAAACCCTAACTTCCCCCTAAGCCTAAACTCTCCAAAACCCCCTTTTTTTGGAGCAGGGACTGCAATGCCCTGAAGCCCTGAATCCCTTCAGCCAAGCTCCTGACTCCAGCGCTTATTAAGCCCCTTAACTCCCTTCAACTGTGCAGTCCTACCTTGATCTGGTGGTGGGTGCGGTTCTTCAGCCCCAGGCTCATGACCCAGAACTCACATCTTTGGTGCTCCTCAGATCCAGGGCTTCGGAGAAAGTGCGTCTGGATATGCCGGTGCCTGGTTGGTGGCAAAAGCCGCAAGCACAGATTGTGGCGCCGATTAGATATCATTCCAAGTGCCCGGAAAGGCATATCTTCCTGTTGCGAATTAGCTCTCATCTCCTTCCGATCCCCCAACTCTCTCGCAGCTGCAGGCAAGACCTACCTGGACTTCGCATAGGGTCTACCGGGGTTCAGCCGTTCTGATGCCCAGGCTCCGCCACCCAATCCAGGATGACCTGTCCGGCATGCACCCGGGCGGCAAAAGCCACCACAAAGCTGTGAAACAAATATTAAGGTTACGTGTTATTATGTGCTCTCGTTCGTTTTATTATTGCGTACTATATAATCTCTATCATATTTGGAACTCTCAGAGATGCAGTTCTGCTGGCCAAACCATATTGTCTTGTGCTCCGGGGGCCATCAAGACAAACTTAGGTTTATGTACGCCTGCGCATAATAGCATGTCGGTCAGTCTCCGCCTCTGTCTCTGACCCTCTCTGTCTGTCTTTCTGTCTGACTGTCTGTCTGTGTGTTTCTGTGTATGTGTACGTGTATATATATATATATATACACACACATACAAAATATGTAGATAAGTACATGGGTAGATGCACAAAGAAATCATTAACTACTGGTAGATAAATAAGTGTATATACAAAAACACACACGCAATAAAACAAGACATTAATATAAGTGTGCATCTGTAGATATGTGTGTATAAAGATATGCATATATATATATATATGTACATATAAGAGTATAAGCATCGCATGAAGAAACTATTATGCATCTAACCACTTGCCCCCTCCACACACATCTATCGAATCGACACATGTGCACGAATGTCAAGTGGTATGGGAGCAGCAATGGTCTCCTTGTTCTTCAGTACTGTATGCATGATACTGGAACAAGCGTGCACAATACGGACAGAAGAACAAAAGACCGGACATTTGCTGGGGGTCAGGCCTGACAACTAGAAATACATAGAACCTTCAAAGAGCATTACCATCCTGCAGCCAGAAGTTCTGCCAGAAAAATGTACCTGACCCAGACCAAGGGACAACTGCATACATAGATTATGAAGAGCGGTTTATATACCTACACATCTATATGTGTCTGTGTTCGTCCATATTGCTTAATTCGGATCTGGTTTGTTCGCAGACTACAGCTTTTTTGGGCATGTCCTTCGCGTATCTTTCACAAGAACTGTGTGTAGTTTGTGGTCGTATTCCCGCCCCGCATACAAGACATGCACGCTCTTTGCTGTCGGCAACCGATGTTGGTCACACGCGGCCCTCCAACATGATGTCGTCGTCGTTGTCGCTGTACTAACTAGATATTCAGACAGTCAATCAGTCAGTCACTTACTAGTACTACTAGCACCACTGCTGCTACTAGTATTACTACTGCTACTACTACTACTACTACTACTACTACTACTACTACTTCTACTACTACAACAACAACAACTACTACTACTACTACTACTACTACTACTAGTGCTAGTACTACTTGTGGTGCTCCGGTACTACTAGTATTACTAGTACTACTAGTACCACTAGTACTACTCCTACCG